ATTGCGCCCAGTAAATCCTCCCCGGCCAGGATACGAACCCATGACATAGCGCTCGCGGAACGCCAGGCGAGTGTCTTACCACTACACCACGGAGACTGTAATCTCTTACATCTTGTAAAGAGATCTTGTAAAGAGATCTTACATCTTGTAAAGAGATCTTGTAAGATCTCTTTCCAGGCGATTAACGATGCATAAGCAACAGGGCTCCATTAAGGAACATATAATTTCTTCCCACAACCAGACCATCACCAGAGAAGTCTTAACAAAAAACACGGAAATCATCGATAGAAACAGCGATAGCAGGCGGCTTGATATCTGCGAGGTACTACACATTAAGAAGTCAACACCAGCAATCAACAGCCAATTAATGCACAACTATATTCTACCCACTTCAAGACTCAGCAGCAATATAGAAGCATCAAGAAATATGGGCCAATAGGCCCTTTGCATTTACTTCCATTCTTCCCCTTTAACTTTACCCAATATTACCCAATATTTCGTGTTCTGTCTTGTGTTGAAAGTTTGTTTTCACCTCATCCAAAACTGTTGTAACATATCACCTCACCCAAATGCAGATATACAAAATGAAAAGCCGTTTGAATTATAGCATAGTAAGAAATCTGTTTTAGTGTTTGCAGGTTATAGTTGTGTGTGTGTAAACTAAAGTCTTTGAAAATGTAATAAGTTATTACGAAACACGTTCAAGTGTCGCAGCAGACTAGAAATAAAAATGAATTTTGGAGAACTGATTTTTCAATTACCATCGACAGTGAAAAGTACCATAAGAAGTATTGAAAAAAATCGTGTTAGAATTATTAATCTTACTTTTTCGGTCATATTTAATAATATATGTCGACAGGAAAGACTGCTACCAAAATATACTACTATATATATATATATATAATATATATATATATATATATATATATATATATATATATATATATATATATATATATATATATATATATATATATATATATATATATATATATATAGATATATATATATATATATATATATATATATATATATATATATATATATATATATATATATATATATATGACAATGTCAGACCACGGAGGAAAATTGAAACAGGAAATTTCCTTAAGTACTTTCGTATATTAAATACATCTTCAGAAGGTGTACATCTGAAGATGTAAATACATCTGTAAATACATCAATTTAAAATACATCTTTCGTATATTAAATACATCTTTGACCTTCTGAAGATGTATTTAATATACGAAAGTACTTAAGGAAATTTCCTGTTGCAATTTTCCTCCGTGGTCTGACATTGTCACATTCTTAATCACGTGTTTATTTTCGTGATATACACACATATATATATATATATGTATATATATATATATATATATATATATATATATATATATATATATATATATATATATATATATATATATATATATATTATATATATATATATATATATATGTGTGTGTGTGTGTGTGTGTGTTGTACCTAGTAGCCAGAACGTCGTACTCGGCCTACTATGCAAGGCCCGTTTTGCCTAATAAGCCAAGTTTTCCTGAATTTATATATTTTTTAATGTTTTTTTCTTTTGAAATGATTAAGCTATCCATTTCATTATGTATGAGTTATTTTTTTTTAAATTTGAGTTAAAACTAACGTAGATATACGACCGAACCTAACCAACCATACCTAATCTAACCTAAACTAACAAAATTAAGTCAATAATTTATGTTCTTAATATAATATAATAATAATAATTCAAATAAACTTATTGGGAACAATTTATTGAAAATATTGAAAATCACTCGGCCTATTATGCAAATCGGCCCTTGCATAGTAGGCCGAGAAGTGTGTTCTGGCTACTAAGTACGACATATATATATATATATATATATATATATATATATATATATATATTTATATATATATATATATATATATATATATATATATATATATATATATATATATATATATATATATATATATATATATATATATATATATTAATCCTATGGTCAGTAACCATGAAAGTTTTAAACCTCTCCCTGCAAGATGACCAATGCTCCCAGTTAAACTCGGGGGGATAGGTATTCACAAAGTGACAGAGTTAGCATTGCCAGCATTCTTATCCTCGACCAGTGCAACAGGTGAATTAGTTAAGGAAATACTACCAGAATACCTAAGAGGCTCCATTTGGATTCATGATCCCAAATTCGCGGCAGGAGCCGGTCAGTGGAACACTTTTGTCAACCCTCACCCTCGACCGACTTTTCCAAATGACTGCAAACAGTCCAAATAGGATAGCCCCATAGTGGAAAACATCGCCGCATCATTGCAGAAGGCAGCTTCCAGGAAGGACAGAGTGCGTCTTCTAGCTGTGCAAGCGCCCCATGCCGGGGACTTCCTGTTGGCAGTCCCTAATTCCGCCTTGGGCACCCGCCTGGACCATCGGACCCTAAGTATTGGTGTTGCCCTGCGCCTTGCCGCCCCTATCTCCACCGAGCACCGGTGTATTTGCGGCCATGCACGGGCAGACCAATACGGCAGCCATGGTCTCATCTGTCGTAAGACACAGGGAAAGATTGCCAGACATGAAGCAGTCAATGATATCATCAAGAGAAGTTTGGCTACAGCTGGGTTCCCAGCACAAAGGGAACCTCAGTTGTGCAGATCTGACAACAGCCAAAAACGCCCAGATGGAGTCACTCTGCAGCCATGGAGGGAAGGTAAACAGGTCGTATGGGATTACACGTGTGCATCCACATTGGCTGATACCTATCTACCTTACAGCACAGCTGAGGGAGGCAGGGCGGCCACCTTCAGGGAGACCCAGAAAAGCAACAAGTACAGGGACCTAGAACGTTGTTACAGGTTCGTGCCGATAGGCTCTGAGACTCTGGGCGCCTAGGGTAAATATGCACTTAAGTTCCTGAAGGAGGTGGGCGAGGAACTCATTGGGAAAACTAGAGACCCAAGAGCGGCCAATTTCATGTTCCAACGCCTCTGTGTCGCTGTTCAGAGGGGAAATGCGTGCTGTATCTTGGGTATGCACCCGACCTCCGAAGAGCTGGACGAGGTCTCCGAACACTGATTGTTATATTGGTATACAAGTGTGTGTTTTCTGTAAACTGTAGCATTTCAATAAAATCAAATAAATAATATTAAAAAAAAATAATAGTGGTGGTAGGAGAGGAAAAGATTAAAGTATTCAGTGAGAATCCACAAGGTCTTCTCTGAACACTCTTTTTTTCTTCTTCGAGGATGTGGGTCCCTTTAATTTAATTAAACCAGTGGTCGTACCCCTAACTATATATATATATATATATATATATATATATATATATATATATATATATATATATATATATATATATATATATATATATATATATATACATATATAAATATATATATACATATATAAATATATATATATATATATATATATATATATATATATATATATATATATATATATATATATATATATATATATATATATATATATATATATATATATATATATATATATATATATATATATATATATATATATATATATATATCTATATATGTCGTACCTAGTAGCCAGAACGCACTTCTCAGCCTACTATGCAAGGCCCAATTTGCCTAATAAGCCAAATTTTGCTAAAAAAATATAATTTCTCTAATTTTTTTCTTATGAAATGATAAAGCTACCCATTTCATTATGTATGAGGTCAATTTTTTGTTGTTGGAGTTAAAATTAACGTAGATATATGACCGAACCTAACCAATCCTACCTAACCTAACCTAACCTATCTCTATCGGTTAGGTTAGGTTAGGTAGCCGAAAAACTTAGGTTAGGTTAGGTTAGGTAGTCGAAAAAATATTAATTCATGAAAACTTGGCTTATTAGGCAAATCGGGCCTTGCATAGTAGGCTGATAGGTTAGGTTAGGTTAGGTAGGGTTGGTTAGGTTCGATCATATATCTACGTTAATTTTAAATCCAATAAAAAAATATTGACCTCATACATAAAGAAATGGGCAGCTTTATCATTTCATAAGAAAAAAAATAGAGAAAATATATTAATTCAGGAAAACTTGGCTTATTAGGCAAATCGGGCCTTGCATAGTAGGCCGAGTACGACGTTCTTGCTACTAGGTACAACATATATATATATATATATATATGTCGTACCTAGTAGCCAGAACGCACTTCTCGGCCTACTATGCAAGCACCGATTTGCCTAATAAGCCAAGTTTTCCTGAATTAATATATTTACTATAATTTTTTTCTTATGAAATGATAAAGCAACCCTTTTCTTTATGTATGAGGTCAATTTTTTTTATTGGAGTTAAAATTAACGTAGATATATGACCGAACCTAACCAACCCTACCTAACCTAACCTAACCTATATTTATAGGTAAGGTTAGGTTAGGTAGCCAAAAAAGCTAGGTTAGGTTAGGTTAGGTAGGTTAGGTAGACGAAAAAACATTAATTCATGAAAACTTGGCTTATTAGGCAAATCGGGCCTTGAATAGTAGGCTGAGAAGTGCGTTCTGACTATTAGGTACGACATATATATATATATATATATATATATATATATATATATATATATATATATATATATATATATACCTAGTACCTAGTAGCCAGAACGCACTTCTCGGCCTACTATGCAAGGCCCAATTTGCCTAATAGGCCGAGTGATATATAATAAATATATAATAAAATATATAATATTCAGGATGTATAGCAACGATAATATACTCCTTGCTATGTTTAGATTATCCCATGTGTTCCGGCCAAGTTGGTAGCCTCATTGTATGAGGATTAGTGCATGCTATTGACATATATGGTTAATATAACTTGAAAATATATCTATACTAAGACACATTGAGCTACAACACCAGCTGCTAATGAAAGGTTCTCTTTCTTGCTTCATTTAGAAGATAAATTAATTGAATAAATAAACTAAATTAAATTTATTTGCCTCCATAAAGTGTCAATTCAACTTCTTAATTTTATTATTATTATTATTATTATTATTATTATTATTTAATTTCAAAGTCACTTTCAGGTTTCGACAAAACAAAACTTAATCCGTTTTCTTCTTGATATCGTTACTGCCGAAGATTTTAGCAGAGATGACAGTGAAGATGCGACGTAGGATGAAGACGAGAAGGAAGAGAGCCAGGTGGAGGAGGAGCAGGACGTCGAGCATGAGGAACTCCACCCAGGAGAGCTGTGCCGCCGGGGACCTCAGCTGGGGTGCCCCACGGTGGCGGATGACGTACTCCGTCCAGAACACTGCCCGGTCCCTGGGTGACGTCTGCTGGTCCCTCATCCCCGTTGACATCCTCATCATGTTTTCTTTATATCTGACCACGAAAAAAATGAAAAAGAACTAATAAATAATATTTTTGTCTATTTACATGCACATGTGTGTGTGTGTGTGTGTACTCACCTATTTGTGCTTGCAAGGGTTGAGCTTTGCCTCTTTGGTCCTGCCTCTCAACTGTCAATCAATTGGTGTACAGATTCCTGAGCCTACTGGGCTCTATCATATCTACATTTGAAACTGTGATTGGGTTAGCCTCCACCATGTGTGTGTGTGTGTGTGTGTGTGTGTGTGTGTGTGTGTGTGTGTGTGTGTGTGTGTGTGTGTGTGTGTGTGTGTGTGTGTGTGTGTGTGTGTGTGTGTGCGCGTGTGTGTGTGTGTGTGTGAGCGTGTGTGTGAGCGTGTGTGCGTGCGTGAGTGTGTGTATGTGTGTGTGTGTGTGTGTGTGTGTGTGTGTGTGTGTGTGTGTGTGTGTGTGTGTGTGTGTGTGTGTGTGTGTGTGTGTGTGTGGTGTGTGTGTAAAAAAACAGTTGATTGATTGACACATGAGAGGCGGGCCCAAAAGAGCCAGAGTTCAACCCCCACAAGCACAACTAGGTGAGTTCACAAGAGACTAGTGCACAAGCTGGAGATGCAGGCAGGAGTGAAAGGGAAAGTACTCCATTAGATAGGGGAGTACCTAAGCAACAGATGACAGCGAGTCACTGTGAGGGGTGACTCAGATTGGTAGTACGTGTCAGCGGAGTCCCACAGGGATCAGTCCTTGGACCTATACTGTTTTTGATATATGTATATGATCTTTCAGAGAGAATAGACTCGTTCCTCTTTTTATTTGCTGATGATGCAAAAATTATGAGGAGGATTAGGATATAGAAAAAGATAGTATGAGGTTCAAGATGACCTAGACAAACTGAATGAATGGTCCAACTAATGGCTCTACTGTTCAACCTAAGTAAATGTAAGGCAATGAAGCTAAGTAGTGGAAACAGGAGACCAGACACAGGATACTGATGGGAGATGATCTCCTACATTAAACGGACAGAGAGAAGGATCTAGGAGTTGACATCACGCCAAACCTGTCTCCAGAAGCCCACATAAAAATAATAACATCAGCGGAGTATGCAATGCTAGCTAACATCAGGACTGCTTTTAGTAAGCTGTGAAAGGAATCCTTCAAAACCTTGTATACCACGTGTGTAAGACCAGTCTTGGAGTATGCGGCCCCAGAATGGAGCCCGTACCTTGTCAAGCACAAGGCGAAGCTGGAAAAAGTTTAGAGGTATGCCACTAGGTTAGTCGCATAACTAAGGGACATGAGATACGAAGAAAGGCTGTGTGAATTGCACCTCTCGGCGCTGGAAGACAGGAGAGCTCGTAGAGACATGATCACTACCTACAAATTTCTGAGAGGAATTGACAAGGTAGATCTAGATAAACTATTTAACACCGTGTGGTATGCGAACAAGGGGACACAGGTGGAAACTGAGTACCCAAATGAGCCACAGGGACGTTAGAAAGAACTGTTTCTATGTTAGAGTTGATAACAGATTGAATGCATAGGCAGTAATGTGGTGGAGGCAGACTCGAAACATAGTTTCAATTGTAGATATGATAGAGCCTAGTAGGCTCAGGAATCTGTACACCTGTTGATTGACAGTTGAGAGGCGGGACCAAAGAGCCAGAGCTCATCGCCCGCAAGCACAACTTGGTGAGTACATACACACATACATCCCCAGGATGCAGTTCAAAACAGCCGTCTAACTCTCAGATACCTACTATATTGGTAGATGAACAGGTGCATCAGGTAAAAGAATCTTTGCCCGTTTGTTTCTGCCTCGGCCAGGACTTTGAACCAGGTTTGTGTGTGTACTCACCTATTTGTACTCACCTATTAGTGCTTGCGGAGGTTGAGCTCTGGCTCTTTAGTCTCATCTCTCAAAAGTCAATCAACTGATGTACAGGTTCCAGAGCCTACTGGGCTCTATCATATCTACATTTGAAACTGTATATGTAGTCAACCTTCACAACATCACTGCTTAATGCATTCCACCTGTTAACTACTCTGACACTGAAAAAAATAATTCTAACGTCCCTGTGGCTCATTTGGGTACTCAGTTTCCACCAGTGTTCCCTTGTTTGCGTACCACCCATTCTAAATCGCTTATTCTTATCTACTCTTTCAATTCCCCTGAGAATTTTGTAGGTAGTGATCATGTCTCCCTTTACTCTTCTGTCTTCCAGTGTCGTGAGGTGAATTTCCCACAGCCTTTCCTCGTAACTCATGCCTCATAGTTCTGGGACTAGCCTAGTGGCATACCTCTGATCTTTTTCAAGCTTCGTCTTGTGCTTAACAAGGTACTGGCTCTATGCTGGGGCCGCATACTCCAGGATTGGTCTTACATATGTGGTGTACAAGATTCTGAATGATTCCTTACGCAGGTTCCTGAAGGCTGTTCTGATGTTAGCAAGCCTCGCGTATGCTGCAGATGTTATCCTTTTTATATGGGCTTCAGGAGACAGGTTTGATGTGATATTAACTCCTAGATCTTTATCTCTGTCTGTTTCATGAAGTACTTCATCTCTTATTCTGTATCCTGTGTCTTGCCTCCTGTTTCGACCGCCTAGTGTCATTACTTTGCATTTACTCGGGATGAACTTTAATGTGTACTCACCTAATTGTACTCACCTAATTGTGCTTGCGGGGGTTGAGCTTTGGCTCTTTGGTCCCGCCTCTCAACTGTCAATCAACTGAAGTACAGATTCCTGAGCCTACTGGGCTCTATCATATCTACATTTGAAACTATGTATGGAGTCAGCCTCCACGACATCACTTCCTAGTGCATTCCATTTATTAACTACTCTGACACTGAAAAATTCCTTTCTAACGTCTCTGTGACTCATCTGGGTACTAAGTTTTCACCTGTGTCCCCTTGTTCGTGTCCCACCCGTGCTGAAGAGTTTGTCTTTGTCCACCCTGTCAATTCCCCTGAGAATTTTGTAGGTGGTTATCATGTCTCTCCTTACTCTTCTGTTTTCCAGGGATGTGAGGTTCAGCTCCTTTACCCTTTCCTTGTAGCTCATTCCTCTCAGTTCCGGTACGAGTCTGGTGGCATACTGCTGAATCTTCTCTAACTTTGTCTTGTGTTTAACTAGGTATGGACTCCAGGCTGGAGCTGCATACTCCAGGATTGGTCTTATATAAGTAGTATACAGGGTCCTGAACGATTCCTTACACAAGTTTCTAATGGCAATTCTTATGTTGGCCAGTCTAGCATATGCCGCTGATGATATTTTTTTGATGTGGGCCTCTGGGGACAGGTTCGGCGTGATATCAACCCCCAGATCTTTCTCTCTATTTGACTCTTGCAGGATTTCACGTCCCAGATGATACCTTGTGTTCAGCCTCCTGCTCTCTTTGCCTAATTTCATTACCTTACACTTTCCTGAGTTGAACATTAGCAGCCATTTTTTAGACCATTCCTCCAGTATGTCCAGGTCATCCGTGTGTGTGTGTGTACTCACCTAGTTGTACTCACCTAGTTGTGTCTGCAGGATCGAGCATTGACTCTTGGATCCCGCCTTTCGAGCATCGGTTGTTTACAGCAATGACTCCTGTTCCATTTCCCTATCATACCTGGTTTTAAAATTATGAATAGTATTTGCTTCCACAACCTGTTCCTGAAGTGCATTCCATTTTCCCAATACTCTCATGCTAAAAGAAAACTTCCTAACATCTCTGTGACTCATCTGAGTTTCAAGCTTCCATCCATGTCCCCTCGTTCTGTTACTATTCCGTGTGAACATTTCGTCTATGTCCACTCTGTCAATCCCTCTGAGTATCTTATACGTTCCTATCATGTCCCCCCTCTCCTTTCTTCTTTCTAGTGTCGTAAGGCACAGTTCCTTCAGGCGCTCCTCATACCCCATCCCTCGTAGCTCTGGGACGAGTCTCGTTGCAAACCTCTGAACCTTTTCCAGTTTCATTATATGTATCTTCAGATGGGGACTCCATGATGAGGCGGCATACTCTAAGACTGGCCTTACGTAGGCAGTGTAAAGCGCCCTAAATGCCTCCTTACTTAGGTTTCTGAATGATGTTCTAACTTTTGCCAGTGTAGAGTACGCTGCTGTCGTTATCCTATTTATATGTGCCTCAGGAGATAGATTAGGTGTTACGTCCACCCCCAGGTCTCTTTCACGCGTCGTTACAGGTAGGCTGTTCCCCTTCATTGTGTACTGTCCCTTTGGTCTCCTATCTCCTAGTCTCATTTCCATAACTTTACATTTGCTCGTGTTGAATTCCAGTAGCCATTTCTCTGACCATCTCTGCAACCTGTTCAGGTCCTCTTGGAGGATCCTGCAATCCTCATCTGTCACAACTCTTCTCAGCAACTTTGCGTCATCCGCAAACATCGACATGTAGGACTCTACGCCTGTAAACATGTCGTTAACATATACTAGAAATAGAATTGGTCCCAGCACCGATCCTTGTGGTACTCCACTTGTTACTGTTCGCCAGTCCGACTTCTCGCCCCTTACCGTAACTCTTTGGCTCCTTCCTGTTAGGTAGTTCCTTATCCATGCTAGGACCTTTTCCCCCACCCCCGCCTGCCTCTCGAGCTTGAACAGCAGTCTCATGTGCGGTACTGTATCAAAGGCTTTTTGGCAGTCCAGAAATATGCAGTCTGCCCAACCATCTCTGTCCTGTCTTATCCTCGTTATTTTATCATAGAATTCCAGAAGGTTTGTTAGGCACGATTTCCCTGTCCAGAACCCATTTTGATGCTTGTTCCCAAACCTAATGTTCTCCAGGTGTGCAACCAGTCGTATCCTAATTGTTCTTTCCAGTATTTTACAGGGGATGCTTCTCAGTGATACAGGTCTATAGTTAAGTGCCTCCTCCCTATCACCTTTCTTGAAGATCGGCACAACATTTGCCTTCTTCCAGCAACTGGGCAATTCTCCTGACATAAGTGACTCATTAAAGATCATTGCCAGAGGCACGCTGAGGGCCTGTGCTGCTTCTTTTAGTATCCACGG